CAAATTACTTGTTCACTGAGCAAACATGACAGGAATGTCACAGAGGGAATTTATATATATGCAAATGCACAGGGGTCACATCGGTGTTACTTTTGCAAAGTGACCTTATTCACCAGAGGGGCATTTTTAAATCTGCACTAGCCTACAGAAAAGGCTAAATAAAACTGCAAATACCTGCATTGTGTGGGATGTAGAAACTTACACAACTAATAACTAATGTAAGATTCAACACAGTACAGAACATAATTTAACTGGCTGCATTATTTCTGTACAAGAGACTTGGGGTCTCAAGTGATTTCTACTACTCATTTAGGCTTTCTCTGGAGTAGCAAATAAAATATTTGTCATAAAAAGAAAAGTAAGAGGATGTGGGACTAATTTTCTATCAGGTTTTTGTCTCAAGCATTTTGTCATGATCCAGTAAAGAAATGGGCTTCTGCTCCTCTTTATGAACACTTGCATTCACAGGGTGTATGTGTTTGCAAAAGGAAAATGGATCTTACTGACAGTGAAAGTTTCCAAATATGTAAAGCAGGAATGAATGAATTTTGAACAGCTTCACAGAAGCTGATGTTTGTAAAGAAAAGAAAGATAAGGAGCAACAGAGAAAAATGCAGTTACTCCAAGGAACAGATGAGAATTTTATTTGTATATAAGCTTTTAAAGGAAGAATGAAAGCTATTATTTCCTTACAGTTTTTTTCTCCTTGACAATAAAGATTATATGTGTTTGTGCTTCATCTAAAATCAGAAAGCAAGGCAATTTAGCACTGGCCATACAATATAAGGTAGTTCCCATGTGATTCTCCTCTAAGTCTGAGCTGTTGGAAAGGTGGCTGATCTCAAGCCCAGAAGCAAAGATGGAAGGAAGTAGAAACTCAAAAGCTTATGGATGCTACATTGAAAATACATATCTGTGCATGGCATTTTCAGTACAGCCAAATGGTTGGACCACATCTGCTGTTGAGAGGGAGCTGACAGTGAGGTGGAGCAGTCATGAGGAGAGCCTGTGCAACCTAGGAGTATATTCACAGTTTGCTGCTCTTGAGCCACAGAGGCTGAGGTGAAGGATTTCTGCTGACATGGCAACTCGTGGACCTTCTCTGCAGGATCACATGTGGTTTCACCCTGAGAAAAAAACTCCTGCAGTTTTTTGTCACTAATCACCAAAACATTAATATTCTTGAGTACATGATACCAGATTGGTGATGGTCTCATGAAGTGTGCTTCAGGGAAATGGAATTTTAGGGAGGAAAAGCAACAAATCCTATGAATTTATTCCATGTGTTATGGTGATAGCGAAGAGCTGGGTACAGCAGAGCCATCTCACACTCAACCACTGCCTGTTCAAATTATGTGGGTGACATCTTTTTGTTATATTTTGAATGAGTCCCTGAACCAGAAAAGGAGCTATCTTTCTTTTTTTCCTGGCCTCAAAGCACATTGAGAATTGAACTCAAACACGGCAACATTTCATGTCCTCTTCTGTGTGAAAGTGCTGAGAATTCCTTGAGTTTATTTCCAATATGCTGGGGTTTGAAACTGAAAGAAATTTTTTTTATGCATAAAGCTTGTATTTTTGTGTAAAATGAATTTTTAAATGTAGGTTTTTCTATAGCATGGCTATCCTCCATTTGGATCAGCTTTGGCTTATGTGGCATTATTGAAGGCTGTATGGATCATAGTGAGGGAGAGGTTCTGCAGAAAGAAAGGTAAACAGAAGACAAAAATGTCTCAAAGTGAAAACCTTTCAGGTTAATAGCTATAGTTTGTCTGTGGAGCTCTGCATCGCCTCTAGCAAAAGTGGACCTCATTTTAGAGCTCATTTATTCTAACACAACCAGTTATGTTAGCGTAATAACAGTACTGTAATGGACTCATTTTTATTTCCTGGATGCACTTGCTTGACATGGATCAGGGTTGCAAGAGGCCAATAGTTATGTTTCAGAGCTGAGGTCAAATGATATCTAGTTTCAGTGTCTACTCAGTGCTATATCATGGGCTGTTTTGCAAATGCACAAAAAATAACCAGCATCAGAGTTTCTGAGCCCAGGTGATAATGCATGCACTCAGATACTGAGCATATCTTATGGCCTCTCCTTCATTACTAGCTATTGGCCTGCTTTGCTGATGAAGTGCGTGCATCCCAACCACTCAGCTTCTTGTAGTACAAACCCTTCATTTTTTATTTCTAGGCCTGTATTGCTACAGGCCCCTGTGTGTAGCAGGACTGCTGAGAACAGGGTGCTTCATACCTTGTTTGTGCTTATGCAGCCTCTTGTCTGTCCTTGGATTGACCACTGTGAGCAGACAATGCACACAACTACAGGTCTAGGTCTAGGATTATGCAGCATAATTAGTTTGAAGCTTAACATAATCTTCCAGCTTTTTCTGTTTGAGCTGCTGTATATTATGAATGCTTTATCTGCTCAGATTTTTTTTTGGTACTTCTGCTGGTGGCCTCTGAACCATCAGTCTCAAGCTAGAACTGCTACTTGCGCTGACTTTTCTGTTAATTATGCCTATTATGGGACTACTATTAGAAAAAGTTTAGATTTTTGTCCTTCTAAAGGTGAATACCACAGATAACTAGTGTAGAATAATGTAATAGGCTTGTGGTACAAAAATGGTGTATCGTTTTTCTCATGATTGGAAAACCTGGCAATGGTACTGAGTCCAGATTTTCAATATTAAAGGTGAAACCCTTTCCTTACTTTGCAGAAAACATTCTTTTCTCACTCAGACCTGGCTTACTCCTCTTGGGTGTTCTGGGCTGCATGCAGAGCTTTGTATCTTCTCTCTGCCATCCTTCCAGAGGGGCTGCTGTTCACAGGCAGATAGGCTGGTTTTCTCTCTTTCCGTTGCTGGTCCTGTTTTTCCTTCTACATTTGTATTTTCTGATGCGCATTTGCTGCCAGTCACGCAGCACAGTGAGTGAATCTGGCATCAGCAGAATAGAGGAAGAAACAGTGTTAGAGTCAACCTTGCTTTAATGGTGCAAATCCCACTGGATTTTGAGCAGTGCCATGTAGGTGAGGAAGAAAGATTTGATTTTAATGAGAGATGACTTGGAACCAGCAGCATAACAGGTGCAGTATGAGAATCCAGAGTGAAAGAGTTAATTCATATTCTTTTCACAGAGATAGCTGTGAAAGAGCATATGCTGAATATGCATTCCAATTTCATTTTTTTGTTTCTTATTTACAGTGGCAAATAATGTATTTCCCTTTAGCTTTGAGTGTTTCATAAACCTGGAACTGATGATGAATATGCAGTTTACACTCCAAAGTCACTGGAATCAGTGCAAGAAGGCAGAGCTTGGTGTGGTTCACAGCACACTATGACTTCCCCTGTGATTATTAATCAGTCAGGCTTTCAGAGGCATGTGCACCATCCTAACTGCAGTACTTGCTTACACCTCTCTCCTTTTGCTATCTGAACCTCTGGAAAACACACTGTAGATGTGTTACTTCTGTCAAAGAATACTGAGTTCTTTGTTGCTTTGAATTCAGGTTTAAAAGGGTTTGGTGCACTTTTCAGTGGGTTCTTAATTTGAGTAATTGTGTTTTCTTACACAGAGCCTGATGTGGAAACTTAGAGGTGCTTAACAAGATCTCATCAATCTCCTGGAGAGCAAGATTGGCAGATTTGGGTGAAGTGGTCTGGTTTCAAGTCTGGAAATCATGACTGGAGTTTTGGCATGTGTGCTGCCTTATCAGCACATGGTGTTCTATTAGAAAGAAATTTGTTCAGAGGAAAGGAATTGTTTTAAAGGAATGGAAAATGATTTGGGACTTTGAACACACTACTGATTAATTCTGTATTAGAGCAGTCTGCATTTCATGGAGTTATGATTGCCCAAGATGGCATTGTACATGAAGAGAGCTAAACAGATGTGCTTGAATTTCTTTAGGTTTCTTACGAATGTAATAGGAAACAAATGTGCAGCCATACTGAAGCAATGCATTTTTTCTACTCAGAAAGGCAACCTAGTTCCACAGCAACAATTTTGTTCAAGTGATCAAATTTTCAGCTTTTCTAGTATAAGTGGTTTGAAATAGACATCATTGTCCTATTGACCTATCAGCAGAAACATGATCATCGTGCGGAGCTCTTTCTTAGCCAGCTCCCTAGGGTTCTTCTACAGAGAATGAAGTGAGAGGGATTCATCATTATACCTCTTGCCACTCTCTGCACAACTGGAGCCTACATCCCTGAACTTGTCTTTTTGGCAGGTAGGAGGGCATTTTGACTTTGGAGGAAGTTACTGAAAGATAGTAAAGTCATGTGTTATCTTGTGCTTGAACCACCATGGTTGCTTGCTGTCACAGTGAAAACATCATTGAGCGAGATGAGGGGAGGTGTGTGAAGTTTCTCTTGGCGCAGTAAATCAAACCTTTTCATTACCCAAAGGTAGACAGGAGAGAGACTGGTGAATCTGCCCTTCTTGAGTTCATGTTTCCAAACCATTCATGTCTTCCTAACAGGATTTCTCTGTGGGAGGATTGGTACATGTGCTAGACTGTTCAAATCTGTTAGTGCCTTGTTACTTGTGCGCACAATTCAAAAAGAGCCACAATCCCAAAAGTTAAAAAGACCACAGTATGGTCAGAAAGAACCACATCGACCATGACCGACCCCAGACACAGTAGTGAAACTGTTCTGTTTATCAAAACCTACTCATAGCTGCATGGATTCATCCTTACCACCAGCCTTGGAGTCTGCTGTGGTTATGAACAATGCTTGTGCCTTGAGAGAAATGATGATGATGTTGAATTCACCCAGTATTGACTAGGGTGAAGGAATGCTGGCAGACCAGTGAGGGAGGTTATACTGCTGCTCTATTTGGTATACCTCATTTAGAGCGAAACAGAATTTAAGACTTGAGAATTGTCAGCCAGACACTCATAAAAACTTAGTCAGTTCTCCCTGAATTAAGCCAAAATTGTCTTTTAAAAAAGTCTTAAGATAATATTTATTTTTGTGTATGTTTGTTTGCAGGATGAATAAGAGATACTTACAGAAAGCAACAAAAGGAAAACTGCTAATAATAATATTTGTTGTAACGCTGTGGGGGAAATTAGCATCTGGGGCAAATCATCATAAAGGTAAGAAATTCTTTTCTGTTCTATTATACTCTTGTATCTGTGGACTCTATCAACAAATTCAAAAGTGTCTAGTCTATGTGACCTTTTTCACTTACATGTATTTGTGTCTTCTGATATCGGTTCACTAATCAGTACCAAAGAATGAGAGTTTTCAGTAGATAGACTTTTATTAATTTATTGAGAATTTAAGTACTTCAGTGCCATTTTCAGCATTCTCTGACTTTACGTCATTTTGTAATGATAGTACAGTTGAAAATATGCTAAAAAAAGGGTGGTAAAGTAAAAAATCAAATAATGAATACTGCTTATCTCATAAAAATAGTTAGCAGATAGGTATGCTGCAAATGAATTCCTGGAATGGGCCCTAGAAAGAAACAAGTTTTAGTAACATTTATGATGTGACTGTTTGCAGTTATCTGTCAAGGCTAACTTCATGGATAATGTGTGCTGAATGGGATGGTTTCATCACCAAGAAAAGACCGCTGCTTTGCAGTGTTGTCTGACTTCTATGCTTCACTCCTAACACTGGACCAGGAACTGTGGTAGCTTGTGACAGTGTGAGATTTCTTTCCTCTTGGTCATTCCAACCCTTAATATGTATACACACCAGTATAAGCTGTGATGGTTTATAGAAGCTTGTGAAAAGGTCTCTTTTTGTGTGTGTGTGTTTCTGTAAATCCTATGCAAGGAGTGAGCTCTCTGGATTCACATACTAATGTCTTCTTACAGGCTGATATAACTTGAAATGTAATCTGCAGTATAATATGATTTTGAACTCCATTTCTCATCATCATATACTGTCTGTTCATCCGCTTATACAAGATCAGAATAAACTCTTAACAACTTGGATAAAGTAAGAATGGAACACGAACAGTACCAAGACTTAAGGAGTTAAATCCAGGAAAAGGATTCCAAAAACACCAGTCAGTTAATTCTGTGTGTTTGTGTACATTTTATAATGTTCACTCTGAATATAGGATTCCATGGGCAGGTATTTTTATATAGCAGGTATTTTCTGTTGTGTGAGGACATCTTTCTTCAAAATACCTCAATGATTAAGGACTTCAGGTTGCAGAGACACTGTCTGCAAAGTCTTGTGCAAGTTGTAATTTGGCTGCAAACAAAACAGATTCTGATGTGGTCCTGCAGGCCACCAAAGATGGACATCATGCCAGATAACAACTGTGCTGCCACCCTTTGCTCAGCCTTTGTTCCCCCTCCAAACTGGAATACAGATTTGTGCTGTGGCTTCCCGGTTTAGTTGCCTATTGGAAAAGAACCAAGATATCCTAGCCTGGATTTAGAATTCTTTGTCTTTGATTATCTTTCTTTAAAAATCAAAAAGCCCATATACAGACCATTTTGGTTTCATACACAAGGACTGGTCAAGCTGTGTTTGCTTCAATTGAATTCAAACTTTTCCAAAGTATGCTTGTGACTCTTTTTGAAAATCTGATGAGTAAAACCTATCACCAAGTATTTCACAGAAACAAATTATGATCCTAAGGACTATTTGAGGAATTAGTGCTTCATAATTGAGAATAAAATGATCCACCACCAATTTTAGCTTTTCTGTGCAAGGGAAACCCCGGCAGAACTACACTATTAATTATCTGGACAGTATTTAGCATTTAAGCCTCAGCCTTAGAACAGAAATAACTTAAGAAATATTTAACTTAATCTTTTTGGATAAAAAAATAAATACGTGCTTGAGCCCCCCTGCAAAACCAGATTATTAGCTGTAGGGACTTCTTACATTCCTGCAAGTTAACAAAAAGCTTCTTTTTCTTTAATTTGTAATTTTTCATGCCTATAACAAAATATATGAATAAATCTTGAAGGGAAAAATAATAGTAAGAAGTATGACTTGAGTGTTTAATTTGGAAAAGCAGCTATTGAACATATTCGGTTTCTTTTGGAAAGAAAAAATATTCAGACTTTTTGAGCCAAATATTTTGGCTTGTGGATTTAGTAAATCAGCTGCACTCACTGTATATGGGGTATTTTTTAAAAAGCACAAATCAGAGCTATGTAGCTCAAATACCATTGATTTCCAAAGATACTGGGAGTTTAACTTCCTGTCATGTCATAGAAAATCTTCCCCCCTACTCTCATGGCAGAAACAGAGCTAAGGTACATTCAAGGAGAACTTGACTGTGTTCACCAATATCCTCCAAATACTGAGAAATGTGTGAGTTTCTTCAGCACTAATTATCCCTAACATCATTAATCTTCATTTTTAGAAATCTTTACTAACATATTGACAAGACAAACCCCAATGACTTTGAAGAAGCCCCTACAATTTCAAAAATCAATAATCGGCATTTTAAAAAAATCTTTACTTTCCGATAGACTTGCTCATATTATGCACTAGTTGCACTAACTCTCAAACCCATCTCTTTTTCAGAAGGCAATTGTAAAAGAAAAGAAAAAGAAGAAAAATATAATCAGTGCGTGAAAAATGGTTTAATGAGCATTCTGCTCTCCAGGCAGACTTCAGGAAGAATATAAACAGATGACTCTGACAGGCTCTCTCTAGACTTGTTGGACTTATTTCAGGGATATGGCACAAATGAGAACTCCCAAGTCAGCAGAAGGAAAACCAGAGGCCGAGGCATGGCATAGGGAACCAGGCTCTGAGGTCCAGTTGAGCAACCCATCAGGGCTACAAACTAGGATTTCAGATTACATCTTTTCAGTGTGTTGTGGGTGCTAAATCCATCCTTCTTTTTCTTGAGAAGTCAGATTTGAAGACAATTCTGCTTCCATTATCTAGGCTGGCTGCTGAAGTTTCATCATTCTGAACAGGAAGTCCAAGAGCTAAAAAAGGTAAACACTTAGTGTTTAAAACAACACAAAGCTCACTTTTTTTCTGCATAGAGACTTATGAGTTCTCCTGCATAATTCCTGACTGTGCACATCCTTACATTCCATTTATCCTATCTTCTGTAAAAAACCCTCAATAAAGCTGCTTTTTCTTTCTCGTTTTGCTGAGGACCCTGATACGAGGTGATGGGTGTCTCACTCAAGCACACGCACACATGAGTCAGCTCGCAGTACCAGATCAATTTGGGCTGCAGTAGCTACATATGAGAAGAGAGGTATATCAATCTCCAAAAGGATGTTGTCAAGATTATGAGTCTAAAAACTGATAAAGACTGATCCTGATCCTCCTACTCATTGCTAGCTCTTGGATAACAAACCTGTGCAAACACACAATATGTGCTGGCACATATGGCATGCAGGCATCAGTTCAGCATCACTTCCTGTTTGCTATTTCTGTTATAGGGAGCATGAATTGATTTGGTGACCATTGTATCACAGCCCTTGTTTAAGGCTTCAAGTGTTGGATCCTTTTGAGAAAGAAATACTGATAGCCCATTACAAGCACTCTTTTGTAGACAAGAGCCTGCTGTGACACAATTCCTACCCTAAAACTAGAAACTTTTTCAAAATTTATGTTTCTGTGACTTTTTGATTACTAAGTTTTTTTTTGTATGAATAATACAATAAAATATCCTAACTAAGAGTTCTTTTGAATCTAAGCATAGTTTAATATTTCTCAAAATACAAACCAATACATTTTATATTAATTTTAAATCCTTGGGGAAACAAAAGTTTAGAAAGTTTTTATTTAAAAATATAACTAATCATGAATGCTTACATGCCAGAAGGAACTTGTTATGAAACCAGAAAACACTCCAGGTAGATAAATAAAGTAATTGAGTATTTTTGGACTCAATAGATAAAAAGTCATGATAATTTATTTTCATTTAAAATAAAGTCACTCAGAAGCTGAACTTATTCATCTGATGCCTATCATATGGTTAAAATAAGCTAAACCATCGTTTGCTGCTCCTACTTGTCTGCGAATTTGCACTAAATTAGAAGTCTGAGGGAATGTCTTTTTATTTGCAAGGAGATAATGAATCTTGGTTTCTCCTTGCAGAGGAGTAGCTGTTCTGAAACCCAGCTGAGCTGCAACCGAAGCCACTTACCAGTGGGCGGCTCCAGTGATCCGACTGCTGCCCTGTTTGACTCCCTGCACACACCATACTCACACAGATAGACAAGGTTTCGTTACCTCCTCAGGCCTAGGATTCCCTGGGTATCTTATTCTCTTTGGATATCTCAGAATTTTAGATTGCTCTGGAAGAACTTTTAAGCCTTATGCCAGATTTGTCATGTTTTCAGAAAAATGTACTGAAAGGTGGCAAGCCTTGAACAGGTCTCCATACAGTCTAACATATGTCCCCCTGTGTGTATCTTTGAGAATGTAACTTTTTAGGGGAAGAAATCTCATAGTAGCGAACAAATTTAATAAAATGTGATATCATGGTTCAGTGTGGGCAGTAGTACACCTGGTTCTGGAGGGCAACTGGAAGCCCTCACAAACAGATGGGGTGGTGCAAGTTTGTTCTTTTGGCTTCTACCATTCAGCAGGACTCTCTTAGCAAGTGCAGTAATGCTAACATTGCACTGAATCAGCATGTGACAGGCTCTGCCTGACCCCTGGGCTTTTTTATTGATTGGTACCGTAGAGAAAGAATATAGCACTTTCCTAAAAGCTGTGTGTATGTGGTCCCTCAATGCCCTCATGTCTGTTTTATGCACAAGGGGTGAAATTCACTGGTGATAAGAACAGCTGTTTACATGGTTTATTAGGTCATTTATGTAATATTTGCAGTAACCTCGTATTTGTGGTTCTTTTGTATCACTAGGACAGTGCAAGGGACTTGAGGCATGCTGGTGAATCTTGTGCAATGCTTTCCAAACCCTTAGTGTTGTGAATCATGCCTTAAAGATACCATTGTTCGTCTGACCATTGTAGTAGATTTTGTCCTAGTGAAACTTTCTCCTTACAGTTATTGACTGACTGATATTCATCTAGTCACTTATTTGTAACTATTTGCTCTACATATAGTTACATGTTCAGATGTCAGCATATAAAGCCCACTACTGGCTTGCGGTCCCTGGACTTCCAGAAGAAAACTTTATTA